AGTACCCATTATCCACAGCAAGTGCAATAGCTGGATTGGGGGGGGGATTCTGTGAGGGGGTCATAGCTTCTTGCTAAATATGGGGAGCCTGGCTACATAAATCCAAAAAGAGTGTAAATGGAAAGGGGGAGGTTGTAGAGTTGCTTTCCCAACTCTTCCATGTTGGGTATTGGATTGCAGTGCCCATTATCCACAGCAAGTGCAATAGCTGGGCATGATGGGCATTCCAGCCCTAAACAACTAGAGGGTACTGGTTGCAGAAGTGGTAGATGGAAAAGATGGGGTTGAGCATGACAGGTTGAGGCCAGGCTGGATCGGTGGGGATAGGAATTGTAGTCCCAATGGAAGGCAAGGGATGGGAGCCATGTTAGGGAGGGTAATGGAATTCCTCCAGACGTGGATGGGAAAGGAGTTTAGAATAATGTTTCTCAATCTCAACAACTTTAATTCAATTAATTCATTTCAATTCCCAGAATCCCCCAGCCAGCAATTGTAGTCCACACTTTCTTAAAGCTGCTGGACTGGAGGGCGAGACTGGGAGTTGATCTTGAGACAGTTGACATCTATCAGTCTAACTTACTTTACTCTAACATGGTTGGGATATTTATTTGTCTAATTTATTAATTAACAGCTTCAATTATTGTAACTCTCTGACTAAAGCTACCATGGACAATGAAATAGCTGCATTTTGGCTTTGAGTGTTTGTCCACAAAAGTCTTGGAATTAATTTAGGACAGTGTTTCTCAACCTTCGCAGCTTGAAGAGGTGTGGACTTCAACTCCCAGAATTCCTATAGCTGGCTGGAGAATTCTGGGAGTTGAAGTCCACAGAACGTCGAGCTGCTATGGTGAGAAAAGCCGGTTTAGGGAATTCAGACCATTTGGCACCTTGTGTCATCCTTAATTCTGTTTCCCTCAAAGCCAAACTGGAATCTCAGCATTTTCGTAATATTAACATAGCAGGCCTGCAGCTAGATTCTGAATTTTTCTTTGAATTAAGATCCATAGGATTCAACTTCTCAGAGAGTGTGATTGTGGTATTTTAATCAGAGACCGTGTCGGAAAAAGAACAAGCTAGTTGAGGGATTCTCTCAAGTTTTAATCGCTGCTGGGTTTGGGATGCTTAACAAGTAGACTCTTGTTCTGTCTTGATCTGTTGAAACTCTTGAGCAATTTAATTCAGTTCCATCACTTCAAGCAAGTTCAAAAATATTGCAGTAATACCGGCATTTGAAAATGGGCAAATGCAATTATGCATATTCGCCTTACGTGCAAAGTGAAAAATGGAAGACAGGGTAACCTCACCTGCCCCAATATAAAAATCTTGGTGCTAGCATTGCATTAGACGTTCAGAAGTAGCTTGCTGTGATTTCTCCAGGCTAAACATGTCTAATTACTCAGACCTTGATTCGGTTTCGACATTGCACTAAACCCTCATTTTTATAGTTTGGTTTTTAAATCGATGCATTGTATGAACCAAGCCATTGTAGTTTGTAAACTCGGATGAATGGCTTAGCGTGCTGAGGAACCCAGTCAGTGGCGGTTTATTTAACCTGATTTACAAAACTGCCTTAAGGTGACAGACGAAGCTAGCTCAGGGATCAATAGATCTCTTCCCAAAATTAAAGAGCTGTCACAAGGAAGCAATTTTAAAGAAATGTGTTCTCTGCTTCCCCAGAGACCTCAGGTAGTCCTCAACTTACAACAGTTCATTTAGTGACTGTTTGAAGTTAGAACAGCACTGAAAAAAGTGGCTTATGACCATTTTTCACACTTATGATCATTGCAGCAAAAAAAACACCCCATGGTCACGTGATCAAAATTCAGAGGCTTGGCAACTGACTCGTATTTATGACGGTTGCAGTGTCCTGGGGTCATGTGATATCCCTTTTTGTGACCTTCTGACAAGCAAAGTCAATGGGGAAGCCAGATGCACTTAACAACTGTGATACTAACTTAACAGCTACAATTATTCACTTCACAACAAGGGCAGGAAAGGTGGTAAAATGGGGCAAAACTCAAGTTATCAACTGCCTCGCTTAGCAACAGACGTTTTGGGCTCAGTTGTGTTGTAAGCTGAGGACTATCTGTAGTATTAAGGTTTAGAAGGCTGAAATCACCAGAGGGGAGATATTAGTCCAGCCTTAGGATACATATCTTGATGGTGAATGTGCTTAAAGACAAGAATTGGCCATTTTACCTGCTTGATTAATTGTCAGTTGGGATGTTTCTTTCATCCGACACAAGATGGAGTAGATTGTCCAACTCCCCAATTCTGAATTTACAACCTTCCCATGTTGTTTGCAAAAGCTCTTGGGCCTTCTTGGCAAGGAAGAGGAGAAGGAGGGGGCGGTATTTGAGAACAGAACCGGTGGGGCAAGACCTGGCGAGAAAAGAATTAAATTTAGCTTGCAAAAAAAAGGACCAGAAATTTTTTTTCCCCCATGCAGGTGAAGCAATTCTGAATCATTAAACGCTGGCAAGTACAGTCCGGTGCTATTAAAATTAAGAATAGTTAGCAGACAGACAGCTTCCAGTGCAATAAATAAATGGGGGGGGGGGGGGGAGAAAGAAAGCTACTCTTGATGTACATTCCCCCCCCCCCTTTGGCGCCTTTGAGTCAGTGTTGACTCCTGGCAACTGCCTGGAAAAATCCCTGCTGTTTTCTTGGCAAGATTTCAGAAGCAGCTGCGTACTTCGTAGGGCTGAGAAAAAAGGACTGGGGCAAGGCAACATCACCCAGCTGGTTTTCTGCCAGAGGCAGGACTAGAACTCAGGTTTCTCGCTTTCTAGTGGTGCCTTCACCCCTAGACCAAACTGGTGCTCTGAATCTGATGTACCCTCCCGGTTTCTTAATTCCGAAGTCTTCTAAATGGCTTAGAATAGGGGTCTTCAAACGTGGCCCTTTTATGAGTTGTGGACTTCAACTCCCAGAATTCCTCAGCCAGGCACGTGTGCCTGGCTGAGGAATTCTGGGAGTTGAAGTCCACAAGTCATAAAAGGGCCGTGTTTGAAGACCCCCGGCTTAGAACTTGCAGGAATTTGGGAGACAAGTCCTAGTTGGCAAAAAAAAAATCTTGCAGAAGTAGTGTCCTCAATTTACAACCATTTATTTAACAACCATCCGAAGTTACAACGGCACTCAAAAAGCTACAACCAGCCCTCACACTTACAACCTTTTCACGAGGTAGGACTTTTATTACATTCACGATGACCCCACCGGGCTTTGGCGAGACGGGCTTACGTTTTCTTGCTCATCTCCTTTAGAGTTCTCCGTCTCCCCGTTAGGGATTTATTTTACATTAAGGCTTTTTTTAAAAAATAAAAATAAAAAATAAATCCAACAGGCCCTTTAGCCTGCCTTCCTAACATTTTATTGCAATATTGAATTGCTGGAAACGTTCATCTGAGAAGCAACATTAAAGTTAATGGTTCTTCCCTCTGTTAGCAGCCAGCGTTCTTTTGAAGGTTCATGAGCCAGGCTGCTCTTGATGGGCAGTTTAAATTCAGCTGAGTGGGGGTTTTAAGAGCACAAAATGTTGCTTTTGTTTTTATCTTTGCAGGGATGAAGGATTTCTACATTAACTGTTCCACAGTACGAGTTTTTTTCTTATGGTACCATAAACTGAGGACTGTACTTACATTGGAGCAACTAATACCTTTGGGCAATGAATATGCAACACGGAGCGTTTAGTTTCCCTTGTTCTTCTTCAATTATTCAGGAAGACATGGAAATAAATGCATGAGCCTATTAACTGGGTATATGTACTCTGCCTTGTTAACTACAAGTCTCGTTAACTACATATAAATTTTCTTAATAAGTAAATACAGCTAGTCTTCAACTTACCACAGTTGATTTAGTGACCGTTTGAAGTTACAACAGGCACTGAAACAAGACGCTCGTGGCCGTTTTTCACACAACCGTTGCAGCATCCCCGTGGTCACGTGATCAAAATTCAGACGCTTGGAAACTGGCATGTACTTACGGCGGTTGCAGTATGTCCCGGGGTCACGTGATCCTCTTTTGCGGTTTTTTGACTGGCAAAGCCAATGGGGGACGCCAGTTTCACTTAACAAACCCTGTGACAAACTCAACAACTGCAGCAAATCACTGTAGTTGTTAAGTTAGTAACAACCAACTTAACAACTGTAAACAACTGTGGCAAGGTGGGTGGTAAAATGATAAACTAATTAGGACCTTGATTGTCTATAAAGACTGAATGTTAAAATAATAAGGATCTGTATAAGCCAAAATTATTGACAAATGTAAGAATGTTATTTTTATTTCATTGACTTAATAAGAATTGTATTAGTTTAGACAGGAGACAGTGAATACTGAGGGGAAAAGAGAGGAAAAATTTGATGTAGTAGCTTGAGACTTGCATTGAAGATATTTGTATGTTATTGTATTATCGATTGGCCCGGCCGCCACGTTGCTTGTTGAATACTTAAATGTAAAATTAGAAAATTGATAAAACATTTATAAAAAAAAATAAAAGGTCGTAAAATAAGGCAAAACTCACTTATCAACTGTCTGGCTTAGCGGTGGAAATTTTGGTCGTAAATTGAGGATTATCTATAGATGATAATTTTAAAAAAAAGTTATCTCCAAGAGCTTTTGGAATTTCCACTGCTGTTCTCATGTTTCTGACGATGATGTTGCCTGACTGTTAGAACTTTCTCTCAAGTGAGAAGATCAGAAATGGTTTACTTCACACCAGGCCTAGTTGGAGCAAATCTTCCAGAACCAGGCCATCCAAAATACAGTAAGGCATGTTCTCTGACTGTGGATCCAGTGGCTTGTCTCAGGGGGACCCAACGGATCACCAGGTGGTTTGGCTTTTCCTGGAGTCTTGAGTTGCTCGGTGTGCGTGTGTTTTTTGCCCCCTATTTAATTCGGAGCTGGCCTGATAAAAGTGATACATCTAATTGTAGCATTGTCTCCCTGGCACTTAAACCTTTCAGCATGAATTTGAGGCATCTTTGACCGCCCAGGTTTTGGTTCAGAAAGTGCTGCTGTGCTGTGGTCTAGATTTTTAAGGTTCTTTTTTGTTGTTGAGTTTTTCCTGTAGTATTATTTTCCCAACACTCTTACAGACTGCTTTTTTTAATGGCTGGCATGCCACTTTGGGGGTTGGCATATAAAAAAAAGAAACTAAGCGATTTTATAAACGAAATTAAAAGTAATTACAAAGCTAACCTCAATGACCATTAGGTTTGACATCTGAGTTTGATACTAATAGCTTTAACACGCTGCCTGGGGAATTCTGGGAGTTGAAGTCCACCCGTCTGAAAGTTGACAAAATAGGAAATCGCTGACTTGAAAAGGGTTAATGATCAATCTATTCATGTGCCTTTTTTTTTCCCCCATTCCTTTCTGCCACTCCAGGAGAAATCAAAAGCTCATGGATTTCACCACTGGGATCCTTCTTCCGCTGCTTTTGGGTGGCGCAGGGATCTTCACTCTCTTCCGATGGATCAGGAGAATCCAGGCCAGGGCGTATCTGAAGGACGCGGTTGTGGTGATCACAGGGGCGACTTCTGGATTGGGGAAAGGTAACAGTTTTCTCCTGAAATTTGATCTGGCAAAGAAGGGTGACAGGTCTCCTGCTTCTCCATGGTGAGATTTGCACTGCAGACTAAAGCAGCGTGCGAGTGGCTCGTTTCTAATCTAGCAAGTCGAGTTCAACCCAGCCATGGGTGCCTTAGCTAACAAACCACGAGGGAGCAAACTATGGCTTAGGACAGGATGGGAATCTAGGCTGTGCGTTGCACGGAGAGACAGGAATCTAAGAAAACTGGGAAAGAGCTGGCTTCAGATGGCCAGGAAAAAAAAATGTTTTACATTCTTTATCCATGTAGAGGGGAACTTGTTTTTTTTTCCTAGCAATCGGATTAAAAATAAACAAAACCTTTGCAACACTTCGCTGTCATCCTTTTTTAAAAATATCCAGATTTTTTTTTCCTCTGGGAGACAGATGCTAAAATGAGGTCATCGTTTCTCAGGGATATTTACCCTCTGGCACATCTACTTATAAGCATGGCAACGTACACTTTTGCCTTCATAAAATACCTTTTTTTGGGGGGGGTGTCAAGAAAGACGTGCTGTCGCTCCAGTTAGCATGACTTGAACAACGGAATTAATTAAAAACATGGCTGGGGGGCAGTCTGGCTCCTGTTGGATCCATCCAGAATGGCCAAATAGCAAAAGCTTGTAAAAGTGGATCAGGTAGTCCTCGACTTATGATCACAATTGAGGCCAAAATGTCTGTTGCAAACAGGTCACAAATTACTTTTTTCCCCCGGTGCCGTTCTAACTTTCAAGGGTCCTTAAATGAACTGTTGTAAGTCAAGGGCTACCTGTAGCCCACCACTACCATTACCTGTAGCCCACCACTACCATTACCTGTAGGCATCAGGTGGATGGGCAGCCTGGTCTTACAAATTAAAGATCTATATATATCTGACGTGAATTTGCTAGGATTAACATTCTCTCTCTCTCTCTCTCTCTCTCCCTCTCTTTTTCTCTTTCTCTTTCTCTTTCTCTCTCTTCCTGCTTTCTTCCTGGCAAGAATGCGCCAAAGCTTTCCACGCTGCGGGATCCAAACTGGTGCTGTGTGGTCGAAGTGGAGAGAGGCTTCAGGATGTTCTTCAGGAGTTATCCGTCGCTGCTGACCCCCTCAAAAATGTAAGTGCCGGGCGAGAAGGCAAGCTGGGAAATGAATTGTGTTGCTTGCACCCGCTTGACGTCGAGAATGTAATGCCTTTTTTGGGACTCGTGTCTGTGTAAAAGAAGAGCAGCGGCATCTAGGGAGATTCTCAGTCATCCAGCTCCTGGTTGTCCTAAAAGTGCTTTTTCAAACGGCAGCTGGACTTTTCCGCTTTTCCTTGAAGACGTTTCGCTTCTCATCTAAGGAGCTTCTTCAGAACCTCTTCTTCAAGGAAAAACAAAATGCAGTTTGAATTTTGGTGTATACACAGCTGTGTATACTGGGAGAATTAAACTTGAGCTTCTCTCCTAGTTCCTGGTAAGACCTTTGGAGAGGTCTTTGCAAAATAGAAAGATGAGGCAATGCAGGTGTACAGGCAGCACTTGACTTACAAGAGTTCGTTTAGTGACCGTTCAAAGTTACGGCACTGTAAAAAAGGGACTTACGACCATTCTTCACACTTAGGACTGTTACAGCATCCCCAGGGTCACCTGATCAAAATTCAGACGCTTGGCAACTGACTCGTCTTTATGACGGTTGCAGTGTCCCCCGGCGTCTCGTGATCCCCTTTTTAAGACCTTATGACAATGTCAGTAAGAGAAGCTTAATGGCTGTGGCAAGAGAAGCCGTAAAATGGGGCAAAACTCTCTTAACAAACGTCTCATTTAGCCACATAAATTTTTATGCTCAATTCTGGTCATAACTCTGAACACCTCCCTGAACAATATGCTGCAAACTCTGTCGCTGAAAAGATTTGGGTGCCAAAATTGTGGGTTTTGATGTTATTTCTCTTCTCCCCCCCATTTTCACAGGCCCATAGACATCACACTGTGGTTTTTGATCTCTCGGATATCAAAGCCGTAGTGAACGCTGTGGAGGAGATTTTGAACTGTGTGGATCACGTTGATATTTTGATTAACAATGCCGGGATCAGCTACCGGGGCACCATCGCAGACACCGCGATAGAAGTGGACCGGAAAGTGATGGAAACCAATTATTTTGGCCCAGTTGCTTTGACGAAAGGTAAGGCTCAAGACGTTGATTTCCATTTCCAGGTGAGAAAAGACACACACACAAAACCCCCCAAAATCCGAGCAATGCAGCAACATTATGAAATAAATAACAACGGGAGGAATAGAGACAAAGTCCAGATAGTCCTTGATTTATAAGCATTGTTTCAGATACTTGGCTACTGGCATGTACTGGTATTTTCCCAAAAATAAGACCGGGTCTTATGTTAATTTTTGCTCCAAAAGACGCCTTAGGGCTTATTTTCGGAGAAATATGGTACTAATTACGTCCGTCGGGCTGACGATCTTACCTGGGGCTTATTTTGGGGTGGGGCTTATATTAGGAGCATCCTGAAAAATCATGGTGGGGCTTATTTTCCCGGTTAGGTCTTATTTTCGGGGAAACGGGGTATTTGTGACAGTGGCAGCCCTCATATTTGTATTTTTGATATTTGTATTTATGACGGTCGATCACATGATCGCCGTTCAGGACCTTCCCAGCCGACTTTCATCCAGCAATGTCAAGGGGGGAAGCTGGCCTTGCGTAACGACCGCGCGATTCACTTAATAACTGTGCAAAAAATGCTGTTCCCAGTTGTGCTTGTTAAATCGAGGATTGCCTGTGTTATTAAGCTAGGGTTTGATGGCAAGGGTCTTTTATTTTTCTCCTCTCTTGCACCCCAGCCCTTCTGCCTGCCATGATGGAGAGGAGGAAAGGGCACATCGTAGCCATCAGCAGCGTGCAAGGCAAAATCAGCGTTCCTTTCCGCTCGGCGTGTAAGTACGGCTTTCCTCTGCGGCCCCTGTTGTGGTTTGTGGTGTTTTGAAGGCCTGTTTTAACCTGTGCGGTTTCGTGTTTTCAATTCGCTTGTTTAATTCTTCAGAGTTGGGGCTTTTGTGTATCAAATTGGAAATACAGAGGGTACAGGGGTGGCTTAGGAAAAACTTCCTGTTGGATGCTGTTACTTTCCTCTCGTTAATATCAGCATAAACAGCAACTTCGAAGAAAAGGCACAATCCACACAACACACTCCTGTTCTATTCTATTCTATTCTATTCTATTCTATTCT